CGAGGGCGGGCGGAGGGCGCGCTGACCCCAAGCGCCTGCGGGAAGATGGGGGTGAGGGGTGGGGTGGGTGCTCGCAAAGCGGAGAGCGCTTGCGGACCGGCGAACGGCTCCACGTGCACAAACAGACGGCGGAGCGCCGCTCCTCGCACGCACTGCGGTGCAAGAGTGAAGAAGATACTGTCGCGCGGGCTACGGCCAGGGTACAGCGGGAAACATGGCTCAGAGCTCGATGTGTTCACCAGATGCATTTTGTTCTTCAATGGGAAGGTTTACGTTTGATAGCAATTATTACATATTATAATTTATTTCGTGTGTATTAAATAGATTTAGTCAGAAGTAAAACTAATTATCAATAGAATTATATAGTAATTGTTTATATTTTCAGTAATTTACAACACTTTAGTTTAACAACGTTATCTTTTTTCGGTAAAATAATACAGTAATCTTGACATTGCCCTTCCACCTTTATCTTGGCTCCTACTTCTTAATGCCGTATTGTAATCCTTCATTATTCGTCAATGTCACACTATTGAACAAATGAAAATAGGAATAGTCATCAGTGAGAATTTACTATTTATTTTAATAGAACACTCAATAATTATACAATGATTGTTTTTAAAAGTAATAAAGTGTAATGCTATTTTTTAAATTTGTGTTTCAGTATATTCCTTCTCATACTTTACTAAAATGTTGAAGTTAATCGAAGACTCTTACTGAATTAATTACGGGCTTAATTTCTGCCTTATCAGCCTTCGATAGTGGCCTCACAACCCATTTGCGCCCGAGTTCGTTTGCTGAACATGCAGGAAGAAACGATAGCGCCGAGTCCCGACCCTTAGATCCACATAGGCACCTATTTCTTGGCCCGGTGTGCCGCTTCATTGCATGTGTGCACTGCTTTCTACATACACACTGATGTAAGTTTCTAACACGTGAGCAAGATTAGGACGCAGAGAAAGTCACATCTTCTTTAAGAAATCGAACGCAGGAATACTGCTCCAGAGCGAAACCGAGGTCTGATTTACGATGTCCAGCGGGAGAAACGGCACTAAATTTAAGGAAATGGGAGAAGATTCGATGTATTCGAATCACGTCGCTCTTTTGTAGAGAAAAAAGATCTCTAAAACGCTGCTAAGGTATTCAGAGAGTGGTCAAGTAAGTTTCGATTATTTCTGGCACTCTGGACTTTCAAACAAATGAACTATTTCGATACTCTTAAGTAGTAAAATACGACGGAGATAATTATCAATTTTGTATATAAACTTCAAATTTGCACACCTCTAAAGTGTTATGAAAAAAAGAAAGTGAGTGAACATAGAGAAATCGTTCAGTATCACTGGATGAAAAACCATTTTCAAAATCCTACCTGTTACAAAAGTGAACCTTCTAATTCCGCCACGGTAAATTGAACCAGAAAAGACCACGGTATACTGATTAATAATTAATCTTTTTATAAAGTAGAAGATTTTGTTAAGTAAATTTTGAACACTCACTGGATTTTTCTTAAACAAAATTAGAAGACTGAGAAAAGCAATCACGTAATTTGATGCCTGAAATGGCAGAATATCGTAAAATACATTAAAACTATCGAAACGCCAGCTCAATAAGCAGGTACTAATTCTACGACTTTTTTTAAAATTTAAACAATGTACTCGACTCCTTATTTTTAATATGCATGACTCATTTATTATAAATATCTACAAGGGAAACAAAGTGCAAAATTAAAATTGTTATAAATGTAAAGGAAAATAAAATTTTATTTTTGAAATGTAATGTAAACAAGTAGAAAATTGAAAAAGGTTTTTGTTTTTCGCTCGCATGTAACATATACCATTACGTTCACAGCAATCAAAGCTTTTTTGTCCGTCCAGTGCAAGAGTAATATATATTTCAAGCAGATAAATCATATACTCGTGAAATGCTCGTGGATATTTTTTAAATAAAAGGAGGGGATACAACTCAAAATAACTCTTCATTGATATCCTGCGCAATGAAGTTCTGCTCCCACGATCTCTCAAATGCTATTCAATGCGATGTTCAACATAAAACCAGGGATCAAACCACAGGGGTAGAGCTAGATTGGGTGACGTTGACGATTGACGTACAGCGATTGAATCGACCGCTCTCCTACCCTTTCACGCGATCGTCCTTCAGAGTAATGTTTCAGGGCAAAGTTTAAGTAGAGTTCCACAGCTGAAACCCACCCCACTACCTTAATTGAGATCAATAACTTTCTGTTCTTCGAACAACGGTATATTTGATTTAAAATTCTTTTGAAGAAAAATATTTGTATTATTTATTTTGACCTCACAGCGCTTGGCTTCAGCTTCTTGAGTTAAAACTGTCGTTGGACCAGACTTATAAATGTCTTCGCTTCTCTTGAGACATTGTCAATTGCACATATTTAAAAAAAATAGAGTACTTGATCTGCACTTCATATTAATTCATATTAATTACATGGATTCAATTCCTCGAATTTAATTACATGATATGATAACAACCAGCTCACAAATACATATGTAAGTGGTTCTAAAACAATTGCAGATCTGCATGGTGATAATGTTACAGATTATAAGAAACAAATTAAGTTTGGCAACTACACAGCTTACAGGACCCCTTTTTAAGCATAGTTCTTTTGGCCCCTAAAAACACCAATCTTATCTTTGAAAGTATTGGAGAAATGCTTGTGTTAAACAAACCTTGAAAGCAAATTGCAAGAGACACACAAACATTTGAACTTAGTTGACAGGCCAAATAAGAGGACAAACATCAATTTAAACAGTTATTTGGAATGAAATTAAGAAAATTAAAATTGAAAATGTAATACTTCATTTCTCTAAATATTAAACCAGAGTTGGGGATAGTGAATACTTGTACAATGTTATCAATGTTCGTCGCCACCAGATTGGGAGTTTAGGTAGCTTTACCGAAACTCATTTCTGCCTACAGACAGACTTCAAATATGAACGCCGCAACGAAAAATCCTTCAGTACTGTGCGACGCACATCACATAATGTCACAGTATCATGTCCTGCAAGTGCAGTAAATCTCCTTGATTGCGTCAAGACAAACCTGTTGTGCATGTAGGTTGCCAAATCTCAGGAACACATGCCACATACATAATGCACACTACTTCGTTGCAATGCAATTTCCCACTACAAGATCATTGGCAAAAAGTGATCATTTCGACCCCATTAAATGCCTTAGAAGTTGGTGACGTTTATTCTGAGGCACCTGCATTACTATTAACCACAGCTAAGTCAAAGCAAAGGTGTGTTGCGGAGGGTACTGACCTGTAGATGGGCGACGCCGTGCCGCCCTTGTACCAGATGACGAGCGCCACGCGGTCGCCGGCCACGGGCGGGCGCAGGTTGCAGGGCAGCCGCGCGACCCCGTGCAGCACCGCCGTGGTGGACGAAACGGCGGCTGCAACACAAGAGCGAACACGGATTTCAACCTTTCCATTACATATTATTATTATTATTATTATTATTATTATTATTATTATTATTACTATTATTATTAATATTATTGGCGTACAGGCCATTACTGACCACGCAACACGATTAACGTGTCTAATTTTTCCAGGATCAGCTTTTTAACTGTATCCCTCAGTACGACAAGGTTGTTACACCTTGGAGTGTGGTTTATGAGGTGATTATGAATGATGATGCGGGGTGAAGGGACAGTCACAGATACGACCATGTCTACAAAGAACTCGAACCTGCAGTCTCCTCGTCGCAGTCGACGGCTGCCGCAACCGTCTGCACCATTAATAATTATTATTATAATTAATAATAGTAGTAATAATAGTAATAATAATAATAATAATAATAATAATAATAATAATAATAATCATAATAATAATATTCTGTATGTACTTTGTGTGGCAGCCCGCAAACGGGCTAAGGCCTACAAGCACCGTCCCGGCATCGCGGCCATGGGTTTAAGGGGTACGTGTGGTTAACACAAAGACATCTTTACGCTATATCCTGGTCTTTTCAACCTGAGAAGTGAGTTTTCTCATCGTCACACAGCAACATATTCACGGACATTGAAAGGAAAACGCAAACTATTATCTAACCCGACCGGCAATCGTACCCGGGGTCGCGTCATGGAAAATGAACATGCTGGCCAATGAGCTAAACCGCGAGGGCATTAATATTATTACTAACCAAACATCGCAGAATTGGGAACAAAAATATAAAAAAATAGTTTATTAATTATTAATTAAATATTTAATTTTATAAATTTTTTTATTTGCAATCTGTCCATCTGTCCAACATCCAAAGAATAGGCAAATCTATTGACAAAAGTTTACAATGGTATCTAACGGAGCAGGGCTTTCACAATGTTACATGAATTCATTTTCTGAAGTAAACAAATATAAATTATATACATTATTAATGTGATATCACAAGAAAAATACGATAATTTTCGGTTTGATTCCATAAATTGCATTTGATGATCGAGGCTATTAAGACATCCAAGAGGATGAAATCTGCACAATCTTCTCAAGTCTCATCTATTGACTAGTTAGTTGCTAAGTAATTGGTTTATTTAGGCATTTGTAATATTTTTGGCTTCTGAATTGTACTTCTTAATGTATTGTGGGTACAATGAAGTCCTTGTGCAATATATAATTTGAAACAAACCATGGGTCATTGGCAAGCAATCTTAAAGGTTTTGATTGAAATCACTGCAGTATTTCTAGGTTCGAGTTGGCTACAGTGCATTGTTGTACCCAAAGTTGTATTCTGTAGATCCAGACATGTTTTAAAATTGATTCAATAGTTCAGTAGCCAGTGAGAAAGACGACTTTTAATAAACTATATATAAGTTGTGTAAAAAGTTATTTAAAAAATAAAATTATTATGAGTTTGGTTGCATTGGAAGTATATTTGCTGGTTCACTGCTAAATAAATGTAACTTATTAGACGTACTTTCCATATTTTTACGAGCATATGAAATTTGAAATTTAGAAAACCTACTCTATATTAATCAGATATTCTACAAATCAACAATATGTTTCATACATTTCGATTTTATTCAGTATTAACAGACTGTTGTTGCGAAATTAACTTTTTCTCAAATACGTTGGAATAGTGCTAATTAAAATTTTCAAAATCGCGAATTTGATGATGAAAACATTATTAAGAAAAATGTCCGATTGTTCTTGATATTCATTATTCGTTTTTCATTTATTCCAAAACCATTCACGTTAATAATGTTCAACATTAAGTCGTTCTCTTAGTAGTATCAACAAAACACGTGTGGACACTTAATGACATTTGATGTAATTGCTGTCGAAGAAAAAAATTTCATTTTCGTGAAAATGCAGCTTACATGTTGCTTTCGAGCACCAAGTTCAAATGTTCAGCAAAAACACGCCATGCAGCTGTGCAAGTGCTAATTCAATTCTATGATGCCATATTTCACGCAGCAAACTCATGCCCTCGGGCCTGCTCTTCCGTCTGACCACGCAAATTTCGCTTTGCTCCTTTCACCATTTATTTGAATTTTTCTCAGTCGTCTTCTTGGCTTAAGGATCTTTTACATTTAGCAAACCTACAAATAGGATTGCCGGCTGTACTTCCCCTCCGAAGGAAGGCGTACAAAGTATTTTTTCGCCCTTAAAAATCTAGTTCTTGGATCGGGTTTGAACCGGCAAACTTCAGTACAACAGCCCGATACGCTATCCCTTGTCAACGAAGCCTTGGCTAATTGATAACAGATGTCGGTGAAATGGGCAGCGAGCTACCTCTGCGTTGTGGTAAGACGTTTCCACTTCGAATCCCGTATGTTTACCTTCTTGAAGTGCCATTTTCTTAAATGCAGCTTTATCACTCAATGGGCGCAGCTTGAAAAGTCTCCCAACGAAACGCAACACTAAATATTTGAATTGGGATCGCGAAATCAGTAGAAAAACAGGGGTTTCTTTTGAATGAAATTTTTTGTCGGTGATTCACTAAACTTCAGGAAAAAACGACGACAGTGTGTACCATTGTTTGTCGGTATAAGTAACAGCCATCAACTTTATACCTGACAAAGTTTTTTCATGATTGATATCCTCCAAGTTCGAGAAATGGATAGTACTTTAGAACCAACAAAGGGCTATCACAATAAAATGTTTACGAAAAATTCTGTAAAGTTTCTCGTCTCTTATTTAGAACCAACAGGTATAATACAAATAATATTAATGAATATGCTGTATTCAATGTGTAAGAAAAAATACTGTTACTTTTCAACACGCAATGTTTCATACTCACCACATCCCCTAAGACTTAAAGCATTTTATATTTCCTTATATTTAGTTTTATTCTGAAACAGTTTCGTGCGTATGCACTTCCTTTTATTGCATATAGTCGAAAGATGGCGGTAATAACAGTATTTATGTAGTGTTATAAATCTGAATTAAATAAATACCATGAATTTAACCCATTATTTTTGATGCACGATAGTCAATGTAGAAGAAATGTTCTCACAAATTATCAAAGATATTACATTTCCAAAGACATTTTTACGAGATCGGTTCGTGCCTTCTCGTTCTTTTATCATCAACACCTCACATTTACTCGCCTGTTTCTAGAGACCGTACCCTTGCCCTACAACGAAACTGAATCTTGTATCCTCGCGAACCCGCAGCATATTGACCTCCCCCCCTGAGACCGGTGAAAGTCCCGAGAACAGGCGAGACAAAAATACTGGCAAGTTTCGAAGGGCCCCAGTAAATCAGACGCGCGATGTCTCGAGGGAGACCGCTTTCATTTAGCGGCCTACCGCTGCGCGGGCGGCCCGCTGCGCCCTTCGGCACTCGGAGGCCCAGGGCGGAAGCACGCCCACCCGAATGCCAACCCACCCGCCCCCCGCAGCGCCTGAGCCGATGCCCACCCGAACACACGTCCACTTTTCCGAACTAACACCCTCCCATCAACCCACCTACCCCGCCCGCTGACACCCGCCACCCACCCATACAGTGACCAATTTCTCTCACCCATTGAGGCGCGCCCGCACTCGCACGAACATCCACCCTAACATTCGCCCATGTCTTCCGAACTAACACTCACCGCACGCCACCCACCAACACCGCTGTCTGGCCACGCGGCCGCCCCATTGTCCGACCAGACCACCACCCTCTCACCCACAGCGCCTGAGGCCGATCGCCCACAGCCTGAACACACGCCCGACTCTTCCGAACTAACATCGACCCACGCAACGCCACGCACCTACCCACGGCCGTCTAACCACCGCGCCGCCTTTGCCCGACCAGACACGCGCACCACCAATCCACCCGACCTTCTCAAACCACTGAGCCGCCCGCCCCGCCGAACATGCCAGCACTAACCCGCGCCCAATTCTTCTTGAACTGACAGCGCACCCACCCAGCAACACGCTCGTCTGGCGCAACCCGCCCGCGATTGTCCGAACGCAAACCACCGACCCCCCATCCACCCGCCTCTCCCCGCACTGTGAGCCGCCGCGGCCACGCCTGAACAACCACCCTAACACTCGCCTACTTTTTCCACCCGAACATCCACCCACTCCGCCTGACTACCCGCACCAAACGGCCCCGACGCAAACCACTCTGCGCGCAACCCACGCACTCACGCTAGTCCAAACACGCCACTTAGCACGCCACGCGCACGCGTCGGCCCTGCGGGACGTCTACCTCCCGGCTGCCGCAGCTGTTTGTCACGCCGTCGCCCAGCAGCTGCCCACCGCCAAGGGCACTCTCAACCTGCAGGTTGTATTCCGTAACCCCCTTCTGCCGTATTTTCCTTCGCTGTTTTCTGTGTCGCCCTGTCCCCGCCAGATGACCGTAACCGCTGCCCGCCGCCACCCACCACTGCCTCCTGGACAACCCCGCCTCCTCTCGACAGCCGCCGTCGCCACCTTCACAACCGCCTCTGAGCTTCCTCCACTTCCTCATTCACAGCTGCCACCAGGCCGTCGCCACTCCCGCTGGCCGGCGCCGCTGCCCTGTCGAACGTTATGAAGCCGCCCGCCAGAGCTGTTATTGGAGCGCGCATTATTTATAGGCCCCTCCGCCGCCGCCGCTGCCGCCTCCTCCGCCACAGGCGCCGATACGGAGGCGCAGGGCTGCCAACAGCTGCCGCGCCCGCCGCGCCAATGAGCCCTGTTGGAGCTCCATGGTGTAAATCAAGCCCCGAATCACTGCTCTCCTTCCCTTACTAAGCACGTTCTACAGTCGAGGTCATAATTTGATGAGCGAGCAATCAGAAATATTTGAACAGAAGAATGGCTCATGTTTTGAGCTCTGACAATTTTCCCTCGATTTTGATGACCACTATTTATAAAACATATCATATTACCATTAAATATTCATATTACCATAGCAATATTTGTGAACATGTTTTTTTATCCTTTCTCGCCTTACTTTGGAAGAAGAGCGAGTATTGTAATCG